GGGGGGGGGGGGGTGTTACGTGGGGCACGGTTGTGGAAGGCTGAATCTCGTTGGGATTCGGTTTGATTGTTTTTTATTATTATTGTACATTCCAAGTTATGGTAGGAGTACATTTGTTTAGAACTTTCTAGTTTATGTTAAGAGTAAATTCTTTAAATAGTCTTTTATAACTAGGAGGTTTCCATATTTTGTCCTCATTTACAACTTATTAAGTTTTTAGTCTTTATTCTTTGGGTACCTCTCTAGAAAAGGTCCTCCGTCATTTTTCGAGTTCCAGCGCTGTTAAGTGAAGGGTAATAACGTACTTTCACTCTACACTATTATTGACGCCATATATACGCAGCGGTGTTCTCCTTTACGCAGATCCAATCGTCGATTGAGAGCTAGGGCAAGAAAATTGAACAATTGGGGCTATGAACTCGTAAATGTCAATGGGTCAACGAAGGTACTTTATTGTAATTCCAACATTCTTCGTTTCTAGTCTCCATTTTCTTAGTTCAATTTGTAATTTCTAATGTAAAGCTTATGTGAATTATTTGAATTCATTTGTGTTACTTTTGAGAATGGTTCCTCGATAGAGGATAAAATCAAAAATTTTGAACTTGGTGATTTTTTATTATTTTTTGTAATTTTTTTATGATTTATGATTTTCGTGAACTTTATGTAACCCTACCTATTTTTTATTATTTTTTTGGATTTTTAATTTTTTTCAACCTTAGCTTTTTTTCTTATCAAATTTGGTGTCATTTTTTCATCTTATTTTGTTACGGTAGCATTTTATTATGAAATTGAATGTGTTTTGGTTTGATAGCTATGTGAATCATTCATCGTCGGCCTCATCTAGAAGAATTGAACATTTCGGTGATTGGCTTGAAGTTCCCACATGTAATTGTGGCAATGAAATGAGAATTCAGACTGCATGGACTGATAGCAACCCTGGAAGAAGATTTTGGATATGTAATGAAAAAGTGAGTGATGTTTACCTTTGGGATGTGTAAATGTCAATTGTATTTGATATGGTTAGATTTATGAATATAATGCTAACTATGTATAGGGATGGCGTAAATGCAACAGGTGGGACTGGATTGATCCTCCAATGTGTGACAGAGCGATAAAAATTATTCCTAGTTTGTTGAAGACGATCAATGCTGCGGAGGAGGAAAACGAGCAACAAAGATAATAGATAAAGGCTAAACAACCAAAACAAGGCACTAAAATCACTCCTTTGCTAATTGGCTTTTGTGTGTTGTGTGTCGGCGTATGTGTGTACTTTGGAAGGAATTAAAAAAAGACTTTTGTGGATTGGTTAATGTGTTTTATGTGTAAGTGTATGTGTGTAATGTTAGGACTGACAAAAGTGTAATGCTTGACATTTTATGTGGGATTTGACAAAAGTGTAATGCTTCATATTTTATGTGTACTTATGTTGCATTTAATGTATGTTATGTGTGATTAATTGGGTCAATAATGTATTTTATAAACTGAATTTGTTAGTCATATGTTTTTCCTTCTCTAAATACCTCAACCACACACTTTTGTTCACCCCTACTTTTAAGTAAAAACTGTCTACATCCAACAATAGACTTCCCTACTATAGATGGTGAATCTGAGTAGGCATAGGTGACTCCTCTAATGGCTTGACAAGAATTCAGCATATCATAAGGACTACTCTAGAGCGGCATTTGACCATCAACTCATCACTATAACTACACATTTCACTAGCATAACAATTTAAGAAAAGAAACCAGATATTATAATCTTACTTCTATCAAATCTAGTTTTATATCGTATCAGCCACATCACTTGATTTTGTTTTCTTTAAACGCACGAAAACAAGGCAAATTATTTTACCCTTCAGCGTGAAAGAAAACCCAATTGGGCTAGAACATGCCACATTGCAGACTTTTTGCAACACACGCATACTTAAAAACCCATTCAATTGAGCTGGAACAAGAGGGAAAAACGAATTAGGAGATTAAAAAATCTATTTTAGAAGCTCCACCCCATTAGTCGTCAGATTTTGGGGACGAATGAATAGTCACAGGCCAAAAAACATAGTCAAAATATGATCAGAAAGATATTGAAATGAAACTCACTCTTCCAAATGTACATGTACATAAACCCACCAAAAACAGCAAAAAAGACATGGGCATTGAAACTAGTACTTTAGTTTTGCCAAATATGCATGTACATAAAACCTACCAAAAACAACAAAAAAACATGGCCATCAAAACTAGTTTAGTTATGCCAAAAAATCCCACTAAAAATAGCAAAAAGACATTATTCTTAGTCCACGTGCAACGGGTCATTTGAAGTGTTCTTGAACCTTGATTTTAGTGTGCACGTAGCCCAAGTGACATATGGCCTCACAACCTGCCTCCTCTCTTTCTTGTAAGTACTAGGTGCAGTAGATACTTGGGAGATGGGGAATTGCACCATGGGAAGATTTGGGATGTTATTCACAGGTGGGATAACATCAAAATGTTGGATTTCATTGTCTTGAGCCACTGGAATTGGAATGAATTGGACAGTTCCAGACCATACATCCGATTCAACTTGCAAATCAGCCCACCAAGGTTCTGTGGATTCTTGAGCAGATACTTCTGTCTGAATTACATTGTTGGAAGCAGCTTCCTCCTGGGCAGATTCTCGAGCAGCCTTTAACATCCTTCTCTTTAGAGCTTTTCTCTATGATTTTTTTTTTGTTTTGCTGCAGCCTAAAAATGTATACACATCACAATGTTAACAACTTACAGTCACATGAATTAAGTAAATAAGACATTGGGGTACCTGTCTTGCCACTACCTCTGGATCTTCAGGGCATGTTTTCTTATTGTGGCCTAGTTTTTTGTACTTACCACAACTTCTATTAGTAAATGCAGCAGACAACTTTTTACCATCTTTCGTTAGTTCACCAACACTTTTCTTTCTCTTCTTTTTTGGTCTTCCTGCTTTGGGTGCCAATAGAGGAGGGTTCAATGGCTTCCTTTCATCATCTCGCCACTCACTTATACCCCTTAATGGTTTAATGCAGCATTTATACAAGGCCTTATATGTTTCTACTAAATAGTAGTCGTCTACATATTCCTCCACTTCTCTTCGATATTGTTGCCTTTGTATCCATATTGCGTAGATAACATGTGCACAAGGGATCCGAGTCAACTGCCAACTGTTACATATACAACTCCTTTCAACCAAATCTACCACATATCGCTCCCAGATTTTTGCCATATATCGTTTATCTTCAAAGAGAGATATGTCACTTTGAATTAGAGTATAGGCACCTGCTAGTTTTGAATTAATGGCTAGTTTGGAAGCCACTATTGGACACAACAAACCTTTCCAAGAGTTGGACTTCTCCCTCAAATCAAAAAACCTTTTCATGAGCATTTCCCTAATGCTTTCAAGACACTAAATGAGAGTTTGAGATCTGGCTTCTTTCAAAACTCTATTATACGACTTACAGATGTTGTTGGTTTGAATGTCACTCTTAGCTGTAATGTGGAAGAAAAATGCTAGGGGTACACCATTTGGTGTACCCCATTTGTCCCCCACCCCCTCCATCACCATACAAAAAGGCAAGAAACTAAAACAAAATTAAATAAATAAAAATAAAATAAAATTGAATGGTGGATAAAGGGGTGGGGGACAAATGGGGTACACCTTTTGGTGTACCCCTAGCATTGCTCAATGTGGAAATGTGACCTGGACCACTCTGAAGCTTGTTTATCAACCAACCAATCATACACATCAACATCTTCATCCTTTATTTTCATCATAACATCCTCGTACTGAGACATTGTTGTTGCTTTTGCAGCCTCCCATAACATGTCTTTTAGAGCTTTTCTTGAAAAGCCAGCATTCTTGAAGTTGCCTTCTAAAGGTCTTACACAAAATCGATGCATTGCACGTGGAATCACATCCTCAAACGCAGGTAACAAACCCTTTTGCTTATATGTGAGTTAGTAAAATACCAAAATATGCATGTTTAGACAACTTAAGAAAATAGACAGTTGGTTCTTTAACTGTATAAAAAAGTGTATTAATAAAAGTATACCTGACATAAAGGTAAACCTTGGTTCCTTAGAATCATTTAGCTCTAAATCAAATGTTAAAAGGTCCAAAAACCATGTCCAAGATTCCTTGTTCTCATACTCGACTATGGCATAAGCAAATGGAAAAATATTCTCATTACTATCTACACCATTCGCAACTAGCATTGTTCTTTCAAACTTCCCTGTTAGGTGGCAACCATCTAATCCTATAATCTGCTTACATCTTTTGAACCCTTCACGACAAGCTTCCAACAAAAGTACACCCGCTTAAATCTTCGTATGCTACCATCGTCAATGTATTTAACTCGACAAGAGGTCCCAGGATTTGTCGTCATGATTTCCTTATAGTACCTCCACCATATCTTGTACTCCTCCTCTGTAAGTCCATGATCATCTGTGTACCCCACTTTAAGTGCCCTCCAAGCTTGTTTGTATGATAGGTGACACTTCTCTTGTGTTTGTACACGCATTTGAATGTCTTTCACCTTCCAGTTTGGATGATATTTCATTTCTCCCTTCCATCTCTTTGCAAGAGTTGTGGAGTTCACCATCTTGTTGTCATATTCCAGCTGCATCCTTCGTGAACGTCATTGAAGTAAGTAATTCTAAAGTTTGTGGTCCCTAATAGTTTGTGACACCTCAACTTCCAAGGGCACCGACTCTTATGTTGATTGCTAGCACTTTCCTCTTCATGTTTTGTCTTTTTTCTCCTCTTCTCACCCCCATCAACACAACTTACATGCATACACTCTATTGCTATCATTCTTATCAAATTTTAAACACTTCCCATTATTAAATTCATAATTACTTACTACCTCCTTGAACAACTCCTTACTAGGAAATAATAAACCTACCAAGAAGTGTGGATTCTTTAAGTCCCTTTTTGCTTTGAAAACAGGGAGTTACACCTTTTCATTTCTGTCACCTTCTCACAAACTATCTTCATCACTCCCAAGGAATGGTAGTTCTTTAGTAGCTCTCTCATTCTCTTGTAACACATTTGATACTTTGTTGCCTAGCCCACCAAATGCTACTGTGCTGTCCACATTAGAATCAAATAGGAAATCATCTTGTTCACCATCTGTCTCATCAAAGTCCTCGGCAACCTCTGATTCAGATTCAAAATCTTCATCATCTAGGTCTTCATCATCATCGTACTCATCATCAGTGGAATGTGTGTCATTTTCATCCCCTGTTACCTTTGTTGTAGCCACCCAAATTTCAACTACAGCAGGTAACTTATCTACTGCGACCAACTCCCTTGCATCACTATCACTGACTAACTCCTTTATTTAATCTAGAGTCACTTTGAAAGTATATGCTAATATCTTCCCAATTCTCGAAACCAAATTCCTCAATATGATGCTTTAATAACATCATACCCCACCCATCAAATAGAGCATTATGAACAATTTTTACAAAACCGCTATCGTATCTCAGAAGCGCACCTCCGATAAAAACAGATCCACCAAGCCCAAATTTTAGTTCAAATGTTCATACAAAAGAAATCCAAATCACTGCACTAGAGCATCATATCAAAATCCAATCAATTCAAAGAACATAGAAACAATCAAAATCTGAATCTAAATCAAATTTAAGAGTTCAATAACCAATTTTTATTTGAGAGTTCAAAATCTTAAATGATGTTCACTTTTCAAATTAGTCTCAAAAGAGACAAGTCCATGGATGGTGAAGAAGACCCAACAAAGTAAAAAGAAAAAGAAATATGGGGACTTGAAGCAATTCATGCTTCGGGTAATTACGTAAAGCATAAAATTCACGCACAAATTTTAAGAGCAAAGGAAAAAATAAAGTTAGAATTAACTTGCATTACCTTCAAATGTAGACATCAAAAGCTCTGAGTCGCCAAAATCAATAGGTTATGTCTATCGAAAGCACAAACATGAAGAAATTAGTGCGTGAAGGCGTTGAAGCTTACAGATGAAGAAAATCCTAAGTATGACGTGAAGAGAATAAAGTGAAATAGCTGACCTAAGCTGTTGGAGGAGAATAAAGTGAAATCACTTAATTGACCTCATATTAACAGCAGTGAGACGGGAAGAATGACGGAGGATCAATTCTGAAAAAGTACCCAAACAATAAAGACTAAATATTAAATCGGTGGGGTTCTAGTGACACTGGAGTACGGTGCCACTGGCATTTTGGGGCACCTACGGTGCTCCGTTCGCAAAATTGACGGTTCCTACCCCCCCCCCTAACCACCCCCTAAACCCCCCATCCTACCCCCGCCCCTGCACCCCCACCCCGCCGTAAGCCCCTCACAAAATAGCCACACATTTTGTGAGGGGCTTACGACGGGGTGGGGGTGGGAGTGCAGGGGCAGGGGTAGGATGGGGGGTTTAGGGGGTGGGTTAGGGGGGTAGGAACCGTCAATTTTGCGAATGAAGTACCGGAGGTGCCCCAAAATGCCAGTGGCACCGCTAGTGGCACCGTACTCCAGTGTCACTAGAACTCCACCGATATTAAATAGTTGTTAAATAAGGACTAAATATGGAAACCTCCTAGTTATGAAGGATTATTTAAAGAATTTACTTTTATGTTAACCTCTCTCTATATAAAGAAGGGTAGATTATTGTAGAGACACAACACAATAAGCACAAAGATTATTCTTCTTTAATATTTTCTACACAAACCAACAATAATTCATAAACCATTTTCTTGTAGTAACTAAAAGAAAAACATAGGAGGAGATATTATTATGGATTTGTAATGCGGAGTGAAGTTATTGTTTGAACCATAATATATTTCGAGTGCGGCGTGCATTAAAGAGGTGTTTGTATGAATTTATTTATGATAGGGAGGAGGAGTACGTAAAGCCGTAAAGGTGTGTGGATGGAGAGGCCTCCGAAATCCTCGCGCTTATGTGGAGCTGACAGAGAGTAACATGATATGTTTCTGCAATCTCACGTGGATGTACAAAGTCAACAAATAATAATGAATGTGGATGTACGTGGCGACTCGTCCGTGTTCATCACAACCTTCTTACTCTAACATATACCCTTTCTTTTGAAAATGTTCTTTTCATTTGATTTTCTATGATTTTCAACGTTGTACTTTGACCATCAATATCTATATTTATATACAGATATATTTAAAAAAAATTTGATATTTAAAAACTCTATCTCAATATGAATATAATGATATTAAATTTATATTATAATTTAATGTATTTTTAACATATCGGAGCTAAAATTTACAAATATTGCCCAAAAAAATCAAATGGAATAGGGAGTAACATTCATCCATTTCCATTTCTATTTATTTTTTTTCAACTTTTAACTCTAACTATGAAGTACTCTCTCCGTCCATTAATTTCTTTCTCACTTTTCACTTTTTATCTATATTATTCAATTTATTCCATCACATCAAAGACAAATATGAAAAGTCTTTACACTTTTTAACTTTTCCTAATCTCTCTGCCAAGTCAAAACGAGAAAGAAATTTTTAGACGGATGGAGTATTTAATTTAAGTTATTAGACTTCATGTTTAAATATTTCTTATTTAGAACTAAGTTTTTAGGTTTTATGTTTACTTTTTTTTTTAAAAAAAAAGCCTCAAACCCAGCCGGACGGTCACCAAGAGAAGGTAATTAATTGGACTTTAATCACAGATTAGTGGCAAAGAATGAAGCATGCACCTGTTACTTGCAGAAACCTTATGCTTAGCATAGTTGCCTTCCAGCGCAGTTGCTAAGAATCGAAACCAGGTCTTACCATTTTGGCATCCTTTGTCTTGCCAACTGCGCAATGCTCGCCGGCATGTTTACTTTTTCTAACAAACATGTTAGGGGTACACAAAAAATGTACCTCAAATGTACTTCCATGTTTCTCCACCACACATTCTTGATATCCGTAAAAAAATGAATCAATAAAAATTGTACGGTGAAGATTATTGGTGTACAAATGGGATACACTAACCTAGCATAACTCTTTTTCTCATTTGGAACTCCCAATTTTGGAATTTATAGACGTCCAAATAAAAGTTACAAAGTGACATAAAAGTTTAAAATAAACAATAAGAAATACGAAGTAGAACTCAATATTAAGGTTTGACGACTTGAGGTCGGATCTAATTAGATTGGATCTGACTATGAGGTAAAAAATTGAAAATATGATGTAATTTAAATTAAAGAAAATTGTTGGAACACGGGTTTACGCTGACATCGTACTAAAACCATGTTCGTTTTGTGACAAATTTTGATAATGCAAACCGCCGCAAAAACAAGATCAAATTGAGCAAATCAAAGGCGAAGAAACATGGTATGATGATAAAGTGAAAACAAGGACCAAGAACAAAGACGAAGACGTAGTAATAGTTGAGTCGGTCTTAGTGTGTTCAAAACCGACATTGACTTTACAATTAGGCTCTCTAGGCTAATTGCATCAAAATATTTTTATGCATCATAAAAAACACTTTTCACAAGTTTTAAATTAGCCTAAAACACTTGGTGTTCGCCCAAACAAAATACCAAGCCATCCGGCATTCGGCTTTCAGAAACCGGCATTTGGCTTTCAGAAACCGGCATTCGGCATTCAGTTATCGGTGTTGGTTTTTGGCATCCGAACCAAGTGGTTTTCAACTTTTTATGATTAGTTTTCACTTCTGGGCACATTTAAATAGTTCTCTAACAAAAACACTTCAAAAACAACCTTTCGTTTGTAGTCGTTTGATAAAGACCATGTGCAACGACATAAACTTAGCTAGCCGTGGTTTTTACTTAAATAACGTGGTTTTTAAGATGTCTGAGTTGATTTCTTAGCAAAATACTTTAAATAAATGTTTTCAACACTTGGTTTTAATTTTGGTGAACTTTGGTTTTTGACATCGGCTTACGGCGTGACTAACCAGCCATGGGTCTGGCTAAACTAGCCCAACAGCGATGTTGGAGTAACCAATAGCGCTGTCGGGCGTTGGCTGTTGAAAACCATGGTTTGGTGCTACGTCCTCCAACAACGATGTTGGACATTGTACATCGCTGTTGAGCCAAGCCTAAAATTCCAGAAAGTTTTTGAACAGCAATGTAGACATCTCTACATCGATGTTAACCTCAAGCCAAAAGAAAACGTTTTGGCCGAAACTTTTTGAACATCGCTGTTGACCCAGCAACGGCGATGTCAGGCCACTTCTCCTTCTTGGAAGGTTAAACCTGAACAACGATGTTCAACTCATGAACATCGATATAGGCACCTGACCGTTGGAAGAAATTAAAAACTAAAACTTTCCAAGTTTGGAAGTCAACAGCCTAAACAGCGATGTTCCCTTTTTGGACATCGCTTTTGGCTTGACCGTTGCTTCCTAAATTTTAAAATCTAAGCCTACAACAACGATGTCCAAGTGATGGACAACGCTGTTAATCAAATCCCACAAATTGTGCCAATCACCCCTAATCAAGTCCTACCCGTTGGAGCCTATTTTTCTACTATAAAATGGGGTGTTTGGGTTTGCTTTTCATATCACAATACTTCTCAACTCCTATTATTCATTGCATTACATTCATTCATACATCTTCCATAGCTTTTCGAGAGCCATTTTTGTGAAGTTCGTGTTGTGTTCTTGAGTGTTCTTAGTTACTCAATATCCACTCTAAAAGAGAGTATTGTTCTTGAGTGATTTAGTGTTTTAGACACTTGATAAGAGAAAGTATTTCTCTTGTGTAGTTCGAAGGAACGGTTGTTTCCTTTGAAGGTTCGCTGAGGTTCGTGTGACTCAAACTCTCAAGTTGTACGGGTTTGTTAAACACCGTTAAGCTTAACGTTGATAGTGTAGCTCGAGAGAGTCTCTCGGGAGGCTGGACTAGCCACACATTATGGTGAACCAGGGTAAAATTGGTGTGCCTTCTCCTTACTCCTTACTTTACGCCTTTAAATTTTTTATTCCTGCGACATTTCGTTTCAAACGTTATTCACTCCCGCTCTAGCGTTTGGGACGTTTATCTAACAAAAAAAATACTAAAATAGAGGTAAAACATTGAAAATACACCAAAATAAAATTTTATGTTTTTATTCTTGAAATAAGAGTTAAAATACATTTACATTGGCAACCATGGTAATATACATTATCAAGAAGCATAGTCAAATGTCCATATACAGTAACACATTATCACAATGCGAGTTCTTATTTTGGGGAAAAAAACATGAAGTTCCTATTTTGGTACTTTCTCTATATTGTACTCTTATTTATGGTGGTTTCTTCTTAAATTTATGTTTAAAACTATCTCTGATCTAATCTATTCTGATTTGATATGATCCAATTTCAATAAAAACAAATAATAATAATAATAATAATAATAATAATAATAATAATAATAATAATAATAATAATAATAATAAATGAGAACAAACTCTTACTCTCTTTGTCTCAAAGTTTTGTTTATTTTTGACTTTTTATAATCAACTAGGATCAACCTTTAGCATATGATTAAATAAATTGCATGGTATATCAATTAGGCAATCAATATTTAAAAAATACTTTATAAAATAAATCAGATAAATAAATCCTTTTTGTACGTACTTATATGCTCAATATTTAAAATGTTATTGTCTAATTTTGAATCAATCAAGAGAAGTTCTCATTTGTTTTTACATCTTTTTGTTCATAATTATAAAAATACATAAAAGTTATGTTATTATTTCAAAAATAACAAAAGTTAGGTCAAAAGCGGTACAAAATTATAAAAAAGTGAGCAATTGCAATGTTGCGGAGTGGGTGAGAAAGAGAAAATATAATGAAAATCCATTGAGTAAAAAGTACATAATAAAATTGAACAGTGCATCTCGTTAAAAGATTTGAGGTCAAACAAATTCCAAAAAATTCTAAAAAAATTATTTGAACAGAAAAAGTTTTAAAAATTGATTTGACTTAAAATTACTTTGTTTGAACCAAATTCACTAAGAATTTGAAGTCAACACTTGAGGAAAATTTCTTCAAAACAAAATTTTGAATGAGATAGCACTTCTCAAATTAAATTTCGGACTGGACCAAAATCCAACCAATTAGGTGGCACCACCT